AAGTGGTTGCTGCAATATTTTTGCTTCAGCCCCACAGCCAGATTCACACAGCTCCAAGTCTGCTGATGAGCAATGATCCTGGCTGGCGGGCACTGCGCTCTGCCTGGCTTCCAGTATCCTGCCAGCCTCAGCTGCAGCCTTACTAGCAGATGTAGCAGGGGCTGGCTGATCAGGGATGGTCCTCTGGGACAACAGGCAAGGGGGCCTGTGACCCCAAGTCTACCAGGCTGTCCTTATCACAAAGGAGAGCTAGAGAACGACTGTCCAGCAGCTCCCAAGACACCCTGGCAGTGAAGGTCCCCACTTTACCCGTGGGGGATACACAGACTTTGAAGGAGCCACACTGCAGCCTCGTATAGCTGGGGAGCTTTGGGGAGCTCTGGTGTTAGATGACACCACAAGAGAAACTGTCCTGGGAAAAAGCTAGAAAACCCATCAGGAGAAAAGGTAGGGTTAGAAGGCTCAGGGTTGGAGATGAGGCAAGAAGTGGCAGAGGAGATGGTGAAAACAGAGAGATGATGTGAGCAGGCACATCCCGGAAGGGCAGGGCCAGCTCAGAGGCTGAAGATGGTGAAGCTGAGACACCAAGAACTGCTCTGCCCAAGGCCAGTACAGGCAAATACATGCGTGAAAGCGGGCCACGATCCTCAGCTCTGGCACCCATCGACTGTAAATGGATTCTATCACTAATTCACATATAACCAAGAGCTTCCTAGTTAGATTACAATCCCCCTCTCCTTGATTAAGATGTATCTGAACTTCAGAGCGATTGAAATGTGAGGGAAAAAAAAAGTGAAAAGAAAATAAAAAACCTACAGCTCTCGCTTAGCACATACAAGGCCTGGGGTATGAGCCCCAGCACCGCAAACAAAACAAAACAAAACAAAAACCTATGCATCTGAGAAAGAAGGTGATGTACCCCCACGTTCGTTCTGAACCCCCATGGGTTTGGGAGCAGTAGGAACAGGTCCTAGGCTGGTCCAGGGCAAAGAAAGAGGATGAGGGCTGCCGGGAGGGGGGATTAAGTGCTTTACTTATGCAATTGAAAGCTGATAAAGGATGTCAACAATGGCATCGCTCCTTATAATTAAGAAGATATTTAATTACTGCTATTAAAACCTAAGGTGCCCCCCACGTGGGCCGCTTTCAGCCAGAATACCTTTGGTTCTGCTGTTCCCCACACGCAGACCTGGCAGCCGTTACAGAGACACTGAGTCTCCAGACTTCATCTCCTGAGCCCATCTGGTTTGAGGTAATACAACAAGCAGGAAAGGGAATTGAATCAAAGGCACGATTTGTGTTTTTTAAAACACAGAAAATGTGTGAGGTAGCACGAGGAGAAAGGTCTCATCCAGCCTCAGTAGGGCTGGAAGCCACCACAGCAGGCCCCGGGCCATGTGCCCACCTGCTGTGTGGCTGGGCCCATGGCAAGACGCAGAGGTGGCTTGAGGGGTGGAGGAGGAGGCGCAGCATGGTGCAGATGCTTTGGACAAACCCAGCTCGTGGAAGTGGAGAGGAAATGTAAAACACCAATACCCCAGCGTCCCAGAGGCTCACATGGATCTCCACTGTTTATAGCCAGCTTCCTGTCAGAATCACAGAATGAATGGGAAACTGAGGCACACAGCCTCTAGAACTCAGGCCACTGCAGTAGGTTGCACAGCCACCACCCACATCACCCCTACGTCCTAGGTATCCCTCGGCCCTCACCGCAGGGCGCCAGCCGTCGTTGGTCAAACCCTGCTCCTTCTGTCTCTCCAGGGCTGCTTTGATCTGCAGCACACCTGGAGCTTGCTGTCTCATCCTCACACAGCTGTCATCACAGGGATCCCACACACTGCCCAGACTCCCCAGCTGGAGGGTGCTGTCAGGGCCAGGGCTGAGCCCCACAGTGGCCAGGGTTCCACTTCGTCTGGAGCTTGAGACGCCCCCAAGCAGACTTCCTCCATCCTGCAGCTGAACCTCAGAGCACTCCTACCTGTGCACCCCAAACACTCACCTAGGGGACCATGTGTAACCTGCCCTTGCAAGTAGAGCAGTGTTCCCATCCTCCGTTAGACAAAGGTGCCACTGTTGAGCGGATGCCGGTAGGGATCCCTCGCAGATTGCATATGGCTCTGGGCCTGATCTTACCCCCTTTCATTTAGTCAAGAGTTTATTTCTCCAGTTGGGTGTCACTTTTTTTCTGCAAGGTTTTGAAGGGTGAATAAGAGTCTGGACTCTCTGAGGTAATTTCTGGTCCAAATTTCATCCTACCCCTCCAGGAGCCCAGGAGACAAAGGCACAGGAATGTAGCCCCTGGGCCAGCTAAGGGACCCCTGAGGAAGATGCTAGGGGTAGTCTAACAGCTGGGGTGCTTGTGAGGAAACACCTGGTGAGATAAGCCCCCCAGCCCTGAGTATTATAGCAGCTTACAGAAGATAGGGCAGACCTGTTCAAAGAAGGGAAATACCATCTCTTTCAGTTCATTCAGGCTGCTATAACAGATTACCACCAGCCAGGTGCCTTATAAACAATGGAAATTTCTCTCACACAGTTCTGGAGGTGATGATTGCATCCTCTGAATTTTAAGGGGAACATAAATATTCAGGTCAGCAAAGAATGGAAAGTGCTGGGAAGCCATCTCACAAGGCAGTCAAGGGCTGTCAGTCCACAAGGGCAGCATGCAGGCAGCACCTGGGTGCTCACTGAGCACTGGTAAACGATGAATGCAGAGCACACACACACACCAAGGAGCGCATACTGCTATGTACAAGAATTTGCAGACAAATTCACCCACAGGGGTTGGGGAGTCACCCAGTGCGGAGTGCGTCCTCAGCTGCAGGGTCAGTGTGGTGACCTTTGGTATCTGAGCCACTGCACACTGGGAAGCAAAGTTCAAGACCTGAATTTTCTTTTTTTTTTTTTTTTTTTTTTTTGGCATGGGGGGAACGTGCTCTGGGTTGAACCGAGGGCCTCCTGCATGCTAGGCAAGCCTCCACCACTGAGCTATCTACCTCCATTCCTTTGTTTTTTTAAATTTTGAGAGAAGGCCTTGGTAAGTTGACCAGGCCAGCCTTGAATAAATGAAACTCCTGAAAGGGAAAGAAGAGAAAAGTTTAGAAAAAAAAAAGGTGAGAGAAAAAGGAAAACTGGAAACAAAACTTTTGCAAATGGGGAGGAGAGGAGGAGTTAAGGGAGGGCAGGGGAAGGGGAAAAAAGTAGTCAAGTTACATCATGTACAGGTACAAATTCTCTATGATGAATGTGATCATTATGTATATCTACAATGTGCCAATAAAATCTGACTGAAGAGAAAAAAAGTAAAACTGGCAGGTCAGCCTTCTGAGTAGCTAGGATTATAGGCATGTGCCACCTCACCTGGCATCTTGAATATTTAATGTCATTCTAAGTTATTAAAATGTATGCAGCCACATGCGACTGGTGGCAGGCCAGTTGGACAGGAGAGAGATTCTCCACTGGGACTGGTGTCACAGTGGCAGCAGGGACATCTGTCTCTACAAGGTCAGCAAGCTGCCTCTCCAGGGTCCCTGCACTGTGTGGTATGTTTCACTCCTGTTTACAAACACTGGCACTGCTATTCATTCAAGGGATAGCTTCTCTTCACTTTAGCTTTGAACAAAACCAAAGCTGAGGTCTAATGACAGCGCTTCCCCTGGCTCCCTGGGGACACCCTGGGGTTGCAATGTGGAGGGGCTGGGTTCCATTAGGAGAGAGGGCTGGGATGTGGCCAGTGCCTTCTGCAGGGCAAACCCCAGCCTGCCATTCCTGCCTACAAGTGGTGTCACTGGCTTCCCACTGGGTGAGGTGGGGGATTTTAGTGCAAATGGGTAATTGGCTACCCCAGGCAGGAGCCCGCTATCACAAGCAGGTAACCCAAAGGGAGCTCTGCATTTGGGGGCATGATGAGGAGCAGAACTTGGTTGGGGTCATCTACAGTGCCTCCCTAAAGTTGTGTCCTCTGTCCTTGGGATATCTTCACGCCCTGCTGCTACGTGTCCCTGGAGGCTTTGAGTGGACCTGCCATCCCTCCCTTTCCAGACTGGCCTTATGGGAATGGTTCTTGCCTCCCAATTACTATCTTATCACTTTGCTGTACCAGGGCAAACATAGCCACGGAGAAGTCCAGTATGGGGTAACTCTGGAGATGCCTGGGTGTGCCCATGGAGCGGCGGCCCCCAGGATGCCACTGCCACATGGGAGAGAGAAGCCAGGCAGCCAAATGCCACAAACACACCGAAACAGGCGCAGAAGGCCAAGGATAGAACCCGGCCATGCACATTTCCCGTTCATCTTGTGTCCAAGCTAGCCTTGACGTTGACCGGCTGTCAGCTTTTCCTGCTTGGACTCAGGAAGGGAGGGATCAAAGGGTTCCTCTGGCTCCATCCCTAGTGTTGAGTTAATGGGGAGAGGTCCCTCAGCACCTGGCCTGAGAAAAATGCTTCACAGACGGGCCTCAAGATGACTCATGATCACTGTCATTGTGGCCCCCTGTACAGGTCATTCCGTGGGGACATTCATAGCGAATAAAGTCAACAAACAGGGGAAAATGCAGGCTTGGGCCGGGGACAGGCCAGGGAAATGCTGCAAGAGCAAAGCTGCCTGTTTTTGTCTCTGCATGATCCCATCCAGGTCAAAGGCTTTCCCCTCTTCCCAGGGCCAGGGGTGAACAGTTAGGACCATTATTCCCAGCTTCTTTGGAAAAGCATGTAGGATGAGCCCTGAAAACAGGGCAGGGTGTGAGCCCAACTCCTAATGCAGGGACAGTTGCAGGAGTGAATGATTTAAATAAAAAGAGCTCGCACCTGGTGTGGGTTCTGCCAGCTCAGGACGGTGGGACGAAGCAGGCCCACTGAGGGTACTTCAGAAGAGGACAGCCCTCCCTGCCCAGAGGGGCGAGGGGTACTGCTCCACTCCAAAGCCTTGGAAGAGGATGTGATCTGAAGCCTGCAGAAACTGGAACTAGGAAGGGTGCGAATAAATGGACACACAAGCAGCTTCCAAAAGAGGCGGAACCATTTATCAAGTCGGCGCCGGCGCAGTATCTACAGTATCTACATATCTACACGTATCTACACCGCCTGCAGGCGGGGCTCTCGGGTCGTCTACACTGCTAGTGCCGGCAGGGCGGAGGCGACGCGGTCTTCGGGAGAACAATAAATACCATTTCCTTCCGCCCCAGACCGGGCGCTTTGGCACTGGCGGGCGGGGCCCTCATGGCCCTCGGAGCTGGGGAACGTCCCGTGTTCTCCTGGGGGCTGGAGGAATCGGATACTGCGACAGTCCTGGGGTGGAGAACCCCAAAGGCTTTGAGGCCGCGGGAGGGAGCCCCGTGGTGGCCCCCGGGGCTGGTGAACGAGTCCTCTGAAGGCCCTCAGGCTTCGCGGAGCGGGCGGCCCGCATTATCTGGGGCAGTAGTCGTAGGAGCCCGGCGGCGCGGCCCCGGCCGACGAGTACATGTTGGCGGCCGCGGCGGCGGCAGCGGCGGCCGCGGACTCGGCGCAGTGGCTCTCGGTGAAGGAGGAGACCATCTTCCTGCACGACGGGCTCATTCGGGGCCATGGGCTCCTCGGCGGCCGCGGCGGCGGCAGCGGCGGCCGCGGACTCGGCGCAGTGGCTCTCGGTGAAGGAGGAGACCATCTTCCTGCACGACGGGCTCATTCGGGTCACCGACCTGGCCGAGCTGCCCAGCGAGATCCTCGGGGCCCCGGAGGCCGCCGACACCGACCTGGAGGTGAGCGCGGCGCCCGGCCCGGCCCGACCCCC